AGGGAATTTGATGTCTCTGGGCCCAATTTATAACCAGCACGGAGGTGTGGTGTTAGTGACAGCCAGTGCTGAAATGTCACAGCGCTTAGAAGTCATTAGCTGGGGACACAGGGAGAGAGGCAGAGAGGATGGAGGAGGGGACAAGGGAGAAATGGGGAAGGAAGGAGAAGGAATTAATTGAATTAAAAATATCTTCTCGAGCCTGCCTCTTGATTTGTGTGGTTCTGGGGGCCTGGCGGAGCTGCCGAGGACAGGGTGGAAGGAAAATCAAGGTTGCTGAGGCTTTTTGAAGCTGATGAGAGGAGGGGGGGAGAAAACCCCCACATAAGCACACTTTTCATGTTCAGGAAGATAAATCCCCATTTTCTCAGTCTCAAGACAATCCAGTTATTTACTGACAGTTTTACTGCGAAATAAAAAGGGCTTTAAGCTCCTTTCTACGTGATGTCTCCATAGCCTGAATATTATTAGATCCCAGGCTTGGTGCAGCTGGAGTTTTGGTTAATAAATTTAACGTCATTAGACAGAAAAGCCTTCGACTGAATGTTGCAATGCTTTTTTCCTCCCCTTTGCCGTTGCAGTCAGACTGTCTGTAGGTGGTAAGAATCAAAAGAAAGGAAGTACGCTTGGCAAATAAGGGAGTGCTATAAAAAGGGTTCACTCAGGCTCGAGGGTGTTTCACCCACAGACAAAGCAAGGCTGAGCCCCCCACGGTGGATGCACCTCATCACGGTTCCCTGCATCCCTGTGATTCCATAGGGATGGAGAGCTTTGGGGTGCTTGGTCCACTCGAGGGGATGGCCATGCCGAGGGCAGCGAGGTATGGGGTGGTGGTGATACCCCAAGGAGCGTGGCACCGATGCTATGATGTTCAGGGTTTGTTTTAGTGCCACCACCAAGGGTGGCTTTTCCAAGAGGGAAAAATCATCTTTTCCACCCAAAGTCTGCCTTAGGGCTATGGAAAGGATAAGGTCTGGCATTGGTGGGACAAGGAACAGCAACTTTAAGGTCCTTTCCAACCCTAACTATTCCATGATTCTATGATGGGGTGAGCAAGGAGAAGACAGACAGTGGTGAGGCTTCTGCCCTCCTGCCCAGCGAGCCCCTCTGGACCCTTGGAGTGGGGCTCACTCCCATGGAGGGAAAGCTCCCACCCTAAACCAGGCAGATCCATGCAGGTCCAGGCAAGACCCTGCTCTCCACCTTGAGTCTCCCCCTTCCACCTCATCTCCTCACGTCTTGCTGCCTTCCCACCATGGCCATGCACCTCCTCCTGCCAGGAAACATTGTGGGGAGCTGGTCCCTGAAGATCAGCTAAAACATGTCCTACATGGTGGGTTTCTAACCCCAAAACCCCATGGGTGTCAGGGACAACAGGAAAAGGGGTTGATGGTGGAGCAGAACCACTCACACAGCAGCCCTGCAGCCATGAGTTTCACCCCAGGCAGAAAGAGCCTCCAGGATGAGCCCTTTTACAAGGGAAATAGTGGTGTTTGGAAGGGGAGGAGCAGAGGAGGGGTCTCGAGGAGATAGCAAGGGGCTATCCAGGACCATGCAGGGATGGCTGCAGAGCCGGGGGCTGCCGGCACGGGAAGGAAGTGGTGGCTGTGGGAGTAACGTCAGGAAGAGCCTCCGCTGGGGCCCATGCGGGCAGGGAGAAGGGAAGAGCAGAGCGTTCATGGGATGGGGATGGGGAGGAAGCGCTCGAGGAGGAGGAGGTCGTGGGGAAGGGTTTGGTGTGGGGATACGGGTGACGGGAGCACCAACCACTGCTGGATTCGGTTCATTCCCTAAAGCAGGTTCCAAAAGAGGCTCTTTCTCCATTGCAAAATCCCCCCCCGTCCGGTGTCTAACAGCAAAACAAACAACCACAAGAAGCCAGGGCGGGTAATTAGCAGCAGATGGCTTGCGATAACAGGTACCTTCATACCTGTGCACCCCTGCCTAAGAGCCTTCCCACTTGGAGGTGCTCCCAGATCCGGCGGCGGAACAATCGCAGCCCGGCTCGAGGCACGGATACGGGAGTGCAGACAGCAGCGCCGTGAGCTGCTTTAGGGAAATCCAGCTCCGAGCCAAGTCAATGCATGCAGAGTCATTAATCTAGGTCTAGTGCCAATAGGGATGGCTTTGCATTAGCGCCGGGCCCCTTTGTAGTTCAGACAATCAGTCGTATTCAAACAGCGCGAGATAACACTGCAGAAAGCTGAGACCATCGCAGCTCATTCCTCCTGTAAGGGGCGGGGGGAGAGGATTTACAGGCAAAATAGCATTGCATTAATGGCACTGCTCAGTATTCCGCACAGACGCCGGCGGATAATGTCTTTGCAAACTAACTGCAATAAATTAATTAAATTAATCTACTCTGCTGCGCTCGTCCCCACCCAACATCAAATCCAAGGATGAGCGGGGCTTGCCTTATCCTCCATAGCCTCCGAAAGAATCTGATCTCACTTGCTCCAGAGTTTCTGAGGCACTGAATTGCAAAGTACCACCTGCCTCACTAAACTAATCACCAGCCTGGTGGTTTAGATCACATCAGTTTTACATGTAATTAAGACTGTCCAGGAGGGCATGCAGCTGCTTACATGGTCGTTCCCTCTTATACAGCAACGTGCCTCCTGCTCAGATAGGTGCAATTAAACAAGCCTGTTCACAGTCATTAAGCATTAATGCACCTCATTAGCATAAGAACTGGAAGAAGCTTTGATGCAGGGAACCCCGCAGGAGAAGGAGATAGAGAGAGATGTACAGACAGACAGGAAGGCGAAAGGCTGGGCCACCACCTCCTCCTGGCCCCGACCAACCATTCCAGCTCCATTTCTCCAAAGCAATGAGCCATGCCGTGCCCTCCTCCCCACAAATGGGACTGGGTTATCTTTCTCTCCCCATCCCCCTCTATCTAAATTATGCTGGTGGAAAGAAAAAAACCCACCCCAACAACCCACCAAACTGTTGGGATATTAACCTAGCGAATCCATTAATAAGCTGAACTCTCTGTTGGCTTTGACACAGCGCACTAAAGCTTTAAAGAGACAGGGCCCCAGACACTGGAGATAGGGGCAGAGACAACAGCGCTAACAAAGAGCCACTGTTGCCACGGCCGTGGCCATCTCGGGTAGGTCCAGCTGTCTTTGGTGTTCTGTTTTCCAGACACAAAGAGCAGACTGAACCGTTTTGGTCTGAATGGCTTTCATTTGATGGTAGGGAAAATGAGAGGGAAGAAAGAACCTAAGTAAAGTGTCCAGGAGAGAAAAAAAAAAACCATAAAAGAGGGGAAAAGAAAGAAAAGAGCAGGGTGTGCTGCAGGTCTTCAGTGGTGAGAAAGGCAGCACAAAATGGGGCTGTCTCAGGGCGCAGGGGATGTGATTTCGGAGCAAGGAAGAACTGTGGGTAAGGAAGATGCCTGCTCCAAGGGAGCCAGGATGGATGCTGCCCGTCTCTGACATCCTTGCCCAATGCTTTGCACAGGTCTCTGAGCACTGCCAGCCCACAGACAACAAACAGCTTGTCTGACTTGGGTTTAATCCCCAGGGAACGACCTGGGGTTGTGCAGCTCCTGGCACCGCCAGGCTCAGAGCCCATGAGGAGAAATGGGCTTGGAAGCAGGAAGTGAATCAGCTGGAAAAAGTGAATCTCCAAGTGAAAGGGCTTCAAGGAGCCACCAGGCTCACGTGCTGCCATGGGGCTGCTGCAAATCCACCCCTCGGCCCAAACCGTACCCCAAGGCTCTATCCCAGGATGGGATGGGGAGGTACCCACCATGAACAACCCTTCCGCTGCAGCCTCACGATGCCCAAGTCATGCCCTTGGAGAGCTCAAACCTGCACCCCACAGGATTGAAAACCAGACCTGAAATGCCCATTCCAGATGACTCTGCCATAAAGCACAGCTCTGAGAGGTAGAAATGGAAGCTGAGCCTAGTTAAAGCTGTAGACCCACCCACTGGAGAGCCACGTAAGCTCATCCCTACAATATCCTCTCTGGCCCTCCATCTAGTCCAGTTCCTAAGTGATAAAAGCATCCACGACTGCAGCTCTCATCTGGGAAGCAGAACAAACAACCCAAGCAGATCTTACCACTGGGAAATGGTTTCTAAGGGTCTCCCGAGATACCCTCTTTCCTACGCTCATTCCATTAGTGCTGTGCATGCTCCATTGTCCCAGTCTCTCCCTCCTTAGCGGTTACATCCTACAAGCACAAACAGATTTCGAATCCCCTGTAGCTATTTGGCCCACGTTGGTAATAATTTTCCCTCCTTGAGCACCTTTTATCTAGAGCTCTGGAAGCATCTCCCTGGCATTAATAGTTATTAGCTTCTATGCAACGTAGGGTTCGCGCCGTTACAGTTTACGGCTGAAGGGAACTCAGGCACAGCCCAGCCAAGCGGTGCATCCGCTGGTACCCCATCGCATGGCACAAGGGATGGTGGCGTTCAGCTCCGTGCTGAATCCATGTTCCATCAGCCCCCAAATGATTTGCCAGCCGCGTCAGCGAGAGGAAGAGATCCCAGGTTTGTGCCTGAGTCACCAAACCCACTGTTTTCCCTTCTGCGCCTACAGGAGTCAACGGGAAGTCTCCTATGGACGGCAATGGGGAATTGATGTTTTTTGAGTCATTTGGAACAGCTTTTTGGGGGTGTTTTTTTGGGGGGGTGTGAAGAGGCTTTTAGGGCACAGCCGTTTTGCTAAACCAAGGAGCCAGGCTTTTACCCAGCAACAGGCTGGGAAAATGACTGATGGAGACCATGACCCCGGTGAACCACAGCCTTGCTCCCCCAAGTCCCTTCCCATTTGCCTTTTGTGATTACAATTAGCAGTGGGGGCCGGCAGGTGTGTGTGTGGGGGGGAAATAAACCAACATAAAGTAAAAGCCCCCTCCTTGCCCCTCTGCCACCCCTCATTGTCTGCGTGAGGCTGGCTGAGGCTCCGCACACTGCAGTCCTCTGCCCATTGTACTGCTGAGAACATGCGAACAGACGCTCTCGGGCGATGGGTTTTATTGAACGCAACTTCAATGGCAAATGGAGAGAGAAGGAGAAGGAGGGGGGGGGGGAATGGAAAGAAGGGAGGGAAAAAAAAATACCCAGCCTTGAAAATCCATGCCAAAAAAAGAGAGGTGGGGAGAGTGTTTTTTAATGCAATCAATGGCTCCTTCCTATAACTCTGCCTGTTGTGAGGAAATCTCTTTCCAGTAGCAGCCAGCAGCAGTCCCAAGGCTGTGACATTGCTGTAACGCTTGGAGCTCAGCTCTCTATCTCTGGCAGCAGCCCCGTCTTTTTGTCATTATTGGCTGTGATTGCAGGGGGTGCACGCCAGCTCGCCCAGTCCTCGGATATTGCTGCCTTTCCCCTCCCTCTGGACAGCCTGCCCTCCGAGAGGAGGTTGGGGAGGAGATGGGGGTGAAAAGAAGGAGCTGAATTCCCTCTGCCTCCCTTGAGTAAGCGCCTACCCAAGCCCGCATGGGTAGGCAGAGGTCCCCACGGCCCTTTTCGGAAAGCTCATTAGGGAAGTAGTGACAGATGCATTAGCTATTAAAAATAAAGGGATGGGGAAGGGGAAGGGGGGGGGGGGAAGAAGCTATCATGGAACTTTTAAAGGCAGCAGCAGCAGCAGCAGCCGCCCGACAGTTTTATTGCTGTCAGATCCATGTTTTCCTTTAGCGGGCACGTTGCAAAGCAGGAGAGGTTTGGGCAAGTATGTGACGCATGCAAGCTCTTCCCGAGCTCTCCGCGCTGCCAATGAGCCAGCCGGGGTATTTCTCACACCTCCAAAACGGAGCTGCTAGCTCTGCCCATTGCCACTGCGGCCACTCGTCCCCCCTCATCCACCCCAGTGCCTCTGGAAAGCTTTAGGAATGGGCACGTCCGGCTGTATGGGAAGGAAAGGAAGAGCCTGCCAGGATGCCACAGGGAGGGCAGAAAGACGGGCGTCAGCTGCTGCCATCTCTGACACTGAGCTGCAGGCTGGAGAGGACAGGTCTTGGCATGAGATGTTCCCTCCTGATCTAAGCAGAGGCCGCTGAGATGGTGATAGAGTCCTGCGTGCCAGGACCTGCTGTCCCTGCAAGCCCCGGCAGTGAAAGGATGGGTACAGATCCCATTGTGCAACTGCATCAGATGTGCTATCAAGCTCCCTCTGCCCCATCTGAGGCCCCCCGTTGCTCCAGCAGAAGACGACAACCCCGCAGAGCTTGGGGAACACACGCTAGAGGGGTGCACAACAGCGGGAGGAATCACCTCCCTGCACCGAGGGTGAGCAACACATCTGCCACCATAGCCCCTGCAGAGGGACTGGTACCAAGCATGGGGCAGGGTGGGGAATGGTGGGTGCTGGATGAAGATGGGATGCTCTGGATGGTGATGTGGGCCGGTGAGCTGTGGTGGGAAAGAGGTAGACGATGGGAAGGATGGGGAGGCAGGATCAAGGCGATGATGTGGGATTGGTTACCCCTTCCTATGAACCAAAGAGGCCACCACTGCTCCTACACCTGCCTGAAGAGCAGAGCCCAGGTAATAAGAGGAGAACAGATGTTGCACCTGCATGTGGGCTCCTGAGCAGTGCCAGATGAGCTGGAATTCACATCTGAGCCGCAACAGCAAAGCTCTTCCCGCAGACAGCGGAGGGAAGCATGGATCAAAACGCCACTTCCACAACCACGCTCCCAGCGCCAGGTCCCGCCTCCACAATGGACCACCCTCATCACTACAGGATACCCATGCCAGGCGCAAGCAGGCCCTTTCCAAGCCCTCAGCACCCTTCAAAAAGGGGCATAGCTATTACAAAAGCAAACCATGGCGGTATTCGGAGGCAGCCATCAGCTTGTGCCCCCCAAATCTCCCCTGCTGCCACCTCCTGACTGCAGTCAGGAGGCAGAAACCTCACCGGAGGAAACCAGCATCAGCAGCAACCACCCCTCCTCGGTTGAGTTTTCAATGGCTCTCGGATCTCTTCAAACAAATCCAAAGGCACCGATCCTATTGTGTGCATCAATCTTTGCAGCGGGGCCTGCACGCCTCCACACTATTGATAAAGAGAAACGAGTCTTAAATATTTAATGAGCGAATAAACCCGTTAAGAGGATATGATTAACTGCACGCCACAGCTCTGCATTTAAGGTGTCCCTGCTGTACCTTTAGAGGGGTTTTATTTTGAAGGGAAACGGGCAGCAGCAGCTGGTGGAAGCGAGCAGCCGGGGTGTGCGGGTGCCGCACGAACAGCACCGCTCCACTCTGCAAGCATAAATATGCCATGGGAGCCCGTGGTATAGAAGGAGGGGGGCTCTATTGACTCAGCCTGATGGCGAGGGGCAGAGAATAAAGCCAAGGAGGTTTTACAAGAGGTGGCAGGAGCCAGGCTGTGGGTTAGAGAGAACATCTGAACTCTGCACCTTTCCGTCTCGCCTCGCTGGGAGGGGGATGCTGAAGGAGGGGGATCGGGAGACCTTGGAGCTATTTCCAGCTGCACCAAGGAGCTGGAGCGTGACCTTGGGCAAGTCACTTACGGTCACCCTCTGCCTGGGGCGAGACAACCGGAGTCTTGTCTGCTGCTGCGGGGGCGGATGGAGGCAGTGTGGGCAGGCAGGCTGGTGGCACGGTCCTTCCGTCCTCCAAACCTCAGCCCGGGGCAGGGTACCACCTCACCGCCACGCACAGGCCAGCCCACAGGATGCTCCTTGGGCACGCAGGGAGCCACCGGTGGCAGACTTCATGAAACCAAGGGCTATAAATGTTCTTTTGCTCTGTGACTTTTTTAGGATGCTAAATTATTTTGCTCGTTATTGCAAGGGGAATAATACAAAAACAAGCCACCGTGAATCATCGCTCCAGGTTTTAGATATGTTAAATGTAGCTGTTTTGGTGCCACCTTTTTGTTTATATTCTCCAAATGTGCTTCTTGCCAACAAGTTACCGGCAGGGATTTGTTTGGCCAGGAAAAGGGGATAAAAAAAAAAGACAAACTGTTAATTTTAAGTGGCAGAAGATATGGGAAGAAAGTGAATTCCCAATTCTTAATTGCAACAGTGCCTTCCCCAAACTTGAAGGCTAAAGATGAAGCCTTGCCCAATCGGGAAGCCAAACGCCATCACGTGATGTAAGATCCCAATTAAAACGACTCCTGTTCTTGAGCCTGAGTATCCACCAAAGAGCAAAGACCCGCGAATTATTTGTGGAAATCATCTGGAGAACAATTTGGGATAATGAATGCAATGGGGGAAATGGAAATCACTTGGAATACTTAATGCAACTACCAAAAATCCCAAACTGTTTGTGACTGGAGAAGAGGTGAAACACGTGGGATAGACCCCTTCTCCCAGTCCTGCCACCACCAGCGATTATTACACACGAAGGATGCCCCTGTATGGCTGTAAATGCAGCAGAAATTAGCTATAGTGACTGATGGACAGATGGAAGTCATGCTTGGAAATACACCTAATCGAAGAGGCTGCGCTACCATGGCCAAGCAAGGGACCCACAAGCCCGTGACCTAGTATAAATCAGGGCAAAATAACTCAGATGTACAAAGCAACCCCAAGCAGGAGGAAGGGATGCTCTGGGTGATGCAGCCGAGCAGAGAGCAGCTGGAGAGGAAGAGGCACATAGCCCTGACACACGCTGGCCAAATCCCAAGGGGTGCTAGCGCGGAGTGACATAGAGGATGAGCATGTGCATGGTGTGATTGCAGCTGGTAGAAGGGGTGGGAGATGCCTGCTCCCCTCCTGTGCATGGCCAGTGAGCAGGGAGGCAGCAGCAGGGGAAGGAGAGGGTCCAGGTAGGTCTGGATAGAACATGGGGGGGGGGGGGGTGATGCTTCACCAAATGCTGGCTCTGCAATGAGAAATACCAGCTAGAGACCGTGAGCATCCAGACATCTGCAGGGTCTGAAGCTGAGAGCCAAGCCTTCACCAGATCCCACTCTGTCTCGGCCACCTCTCCTCAAGCCCTAGGCTAAGCCAAACTCTGTCTTCACCCCAAGAGCTGCTCCCCATGGAGCTCTCAGAGAGAGCAGGACCAGAGAAGCAGGCATCTGCTGAAACCTGAATGGTCTTTCTTGCCCAGAAGCCAAACTCCACATCTCGGTTCGATTTACTTTATCACAGCATCAGGTTTGCATTGCATCTACCAGCACTGAGCATGGGGGCCAAACCCTCACCAGGCTTCCTTTTCTACCAACAGGATTCATCTGGGAGGAAGGAGCTGAAGAGAGAAGGCAGGGAGAGTTTGGAAGGCAGGAATAAGTAGAGGAGAGAGGATGCTGGAGGACCTTGGGGACCAGTGCAGCGCATGGAGGAGCTGGGAGAAGGCACCAACAAAGGGAGGCTGGGCAGGTGATGCTGAGGATGCAGTATGGTGACACTGCTGAGAAGGGAACAAGGGTCCCCGAGCAGCACTGATGGAAGGGTCCAGCCATGCCACTTCAATAACACCTTCTTCCTCTCTGACACACAGGCAGGGAGACGCTGGGCCTCTTCCTGCCCAAATACAGCATGCAAGGCAGTGCAGCAGCGGTAGAGATGAAGCTTTTTTACACCCCAGCCTGGTCATCTGACAGTTATGAGGGTAACAAAAGGGTACAGCCCGATCACAAGACAGGCTGACAATGCATCTTCCCCTTCTGGGAAGGAAAGTCAAACACCAAAGTTGTGGAAGGAACCACTTTGTATCTTCCTTTGCCTGCAGTTTGACGTGTGGAGAGATGGGTCCCCTCATCTTCCTTTGAGATGAAAGAGGAAAGGAAAATGCAGAAAATGCTGCCTTTTAGGTGCAAGAATTGTTCCAATGTCTCAGGTCAAACATTCCCCAAAGCTTCTGTTGCGCTATCGTAAGAAAGCAGAGCCCGGATCTCTTGAATTCACTTGAATTCAGGATGTTTCTTTCAATTCCTAGCAGCATTTCAACAAGCCTGGCTGAGTATGCACAGGCAAGCCTGGCTGCGAGATGCCTGGACTGAAGCATCAAGAGAAGCACTCAGGAACTGAGAGTCATTATTTGTTATTAACTCACCCAGCATCTGTGATTTCTTACATGTTATTTGGCTGCGGAGCGAAACAGCTCCTGAAAAACACAGGGAAAAGTGAACCATCCACCAGTGTGGGATCATCCTTCCAGTGGATTCTAGTAGGGAACCAGCAACTGGATCAACAGCAACTAAGACTGCCCTGGTAGCGTCAGGGTTTTCTTCTTGTGCCCCTTTATTTACCATAGATTCCCACTGCGGGAAGCAGCCCCTGCAGAGATCACCCTGCTCCTGCCTCCTGCTTTTCCAGGTTCATGGGTATGGTACTCAGCTGGTTTCAGATATCCCTGTGGAGCAGAGTCCCTTTGGAAGGCCGTTCCAGGCAGGAAACTGCGGCTCTTCCTGGTCAGAGAACTGCATGGGAAAAATCAGTTTCTCTTTCCCTTAGAAAAGCCTCCCACCGGCACGGACCTGGCTAGCACAGTGATTCCCATAATGATTTTTTAGGGATAGAGATTTGCTGGGATAATGAGGTGAACAGGACACTTCTACCCCCCAGTTCTCTTACAGCACTTGCACGTTATCTCACTGACTGCAGGGGAAACCAAGGCACAGAGCTCACTCTGAGATGGCTCCAGCAGCATTGCCAATTGCATTTGGGTTCTCCAGTGATGCTTCCCAAGTGCTGCAATACCATCCTATCACCCACAGCCCAGCTGAGCTTCCCCAAGGTACCCAGTGAGGGATGTCCTGCATCCCCTCTGCCCCCAGCTCAGCCACCATGAGCCACTGGCCTCGGCCCCTCTCTCTTGTCTCTGGTACCCAATGGTACCTCTCCCAGCAGCCAGGCTCAGCCCCACTGATGCTCAGGGTACCACCTTTCCCCACACCATCCCCAGGAGAGCATCCCGACGGGGCTCGAGCATCTCCATCACGTCTGGTGACAGCAGGGCGGACAATGACATTTGCTGCAGGAGCCTGACATTGAACCCAGCCAGTCAGAACGGAGGGTGTTTTGCTGGCAAGGGTAGCGGCTGCGCTCCGACACCATCAGCAAGGGGACAGGAGAGGGGAGGGGAAAGGGAAAAAGCCGAAGCAGCAGCCAGACAGCTGCCTCTTCCTCCTCCTCCTTTTGTGCAGAAACGTGGTTTTGTTTGTCAGTCAAGCAGATTGTTTTCTCCTTCTTTGCAGGCCAATTGTTTCTGCTCCTGCAAGATAAGGGATTGAAAAGGGCTATATTTTTATGGCACAGAACCTAGGCCTTCTGAATCAGAGGGGAGACATCAAGTGGGAGAAGGATTCATGTTCAAACCAGCGCTCCTCTCCCCAGTTCCACTCTCCAATCCTATTTCCACCCCCATTTTCCTTTTTTCTCCTTCCTTCTCCCGCCTGGAGCTGCCTCTCAGCCCTCTCGCTGTTTAATCTCCATCTCTCTGGTGGACTCGGGAGGTTTATACAGCATCGTCCTCCCTGCACCATCTGCTGAAAAGAATCTGTCTTTCCCCCTGCCGCTCTGTCTGGAGGGCTCCTCCTGTTATCCTATCCCCCCAAAAGAGGGGAGCAGAGCCGGTGCCACCACACGGGTACATCCAGATGAACAAAACCCAGGAGGGGGGCTCGTTTCCTATGAAGGTTTTGCCCAGAAAGCATCTTGACAGAGCTGGAGCTCAGTGCCAGATAAGACAGCAGGTTCCTCTTCTTGCTTCTAGAGTGGGTTCAAGGAGCTCAGTGCCCAGCTTTCTTCCTTTCTCCTGTTGGACTCCCCCAAATCCACAATCCAGACGCGATGACACGGTGATAGAGCCGCTGGAGTGACGACCGCTGAATGATCACAGCATCAGATTCACGCCATCGGAGCAGGTCTCCAAGCCAACTGACCTGGAGAAGGTTCTCACTCCAGTGACCAGCAGGGCAACTGGGGAAGCCCTTATCCCAATCATTCCTCCTTTGCTCCTGGGTCCTGATCGCACCATGCTCCGCTGCTCAGCGCCGAGGACCAGAGGGAGGATTTGCCTCCCCTCCTCAGGGGATGAGAGCCTTGGGAGGGGGGCAGCGTGGTTCATATCCAGCTCATAAGCCTCTCAGAGCTCAGGCTCGAGGACTGAGATTCACTCAATTAATTTTGCTTTGGCAAAAAGTCCATTTTTATTGCTATTTCATGCCTTCAGTATAGATTTTCCCTGCTCGTCTCAAAGGGATAATAAAACCCGGCTCGTTCTTTTTATAAAAGTCTCACACTCCCTCTCTCAGCAGGCTCTGTGTTCCCCTGCTAGAGATGTAAATTTAAAGGGGAAATGCTGTCATTTAAAACAAAACAAAACCAAAAAAAGCAACTCAGAAAGCCCAGCTTTGAGCATATTCCAGCTCGCAAAACTAGGCCACGCAACACAAGCAGGAACCAAGCGGACGCCTCCCCGCAGCGATGCTCACCCTCCTGCTGGGGACCAGGGGTGACCACCAGCCCTGGGAAGCTCCTCTCTGCCTTGCATGGATGGTGCTGGCCCTTGGCTTTATGGGATGTGGAGGTTTTACTGGCTGGGGGATGCTTCAAGCCGGCTCTAAGAACTTGGCTGTGACACCAGCACCCCAGCATCTGCCTCCCTTCTCCTCCTTCTCTCCTTTTCCTCCTCCTCTACTTCTCCTCTTCCTCCTCCTCCGTATCAGATCCGGGGTGGAAGCCATCCCCAAGCAGCTCCGGAGGGAAATCCTAAATCCACACGATGCCAAGCAGGTGGATTTTGAGCGTGTTTCCAAGCAGGCAATGGGACAAGATGATGGCAGGATGATGGATGGGTCTGCCCGCTCCACCCCAGCTTGGATGCATCCTGCCTGGTCTTCAGAAGGGATGTAGCTTTGGAGCATCCCTCTGAGAGGTGAAAAAGGGAAAGGGAAATGGCCCTTCCTCTGCCTCGTGCCCAGCTGCAGGGAACAGGATGCAAAGCGGAAGCATCCCTGGAAGTCTGTCATTAGTGAGTGGCAGCAATCGCCTGGGGACAGGGTGGTTTTTACCAGCACCACTGTTTTTAAGAGCAGGTTAGATCCAGGTATCCGCCTGGCCCTGCAGATCCAGACCCTTAGGATGGATTCAAGACAGTTTCCTCCAGCCTGGCCACGTGTCTGACTCGGTGACACGCACAAATCCACCGTCACAAGGACTCTCCCTGCCCTGACGGAAACCAGGAGCAACTCCAAAGCAAGGCAAGAAGAGACATGCACTCGGTGCTCAGCCCTGTGCCATGGGACCAGGCCGAAGGGGGACAGCCAAACCCTTCCTGTGCAAATGCTTCTCCTTCTCCCCATCCTTTCCCTTTTGATGCACAACGCAGAACTCAAAGCCCTGCCTGTATCCGGCGGGGTAGCAGTGCCCATGGCAAGAGGAAACCCACAGCTCGCTCTGTTCCTGCAGGTGTGCCTTTAACTGACAGCAGTTTTAGGGCAACTCGTGCTGGGATGGGCAGGAGAGGAAAGATGAGGGTGAGGAACCCCCTGGGTGATACCAGGCTCCTTGGTTAACTGATAGCCCATCACCTCCAGGCTCAGCTCGGGGTGGCCCCATCAGTTACACCGACGTTAAGCCATTTCCTCTGATGATGGCAGAACAAACCCTCCTTCCCCAGCACGAGCTGCAGAGCCTGAGGGATGCCTCACAACACAGTTCTGCATCCCCCCCTCCCATTTTGAGAGGAATCCCTTGGGGTTCCTAGATTTTCCTATAGAGCCTTCACAAGACTCACCCCTCCAGGCTGGAAAATCCTTTAGCAAGCTGTGCCAACCTCTGCAGCTCAGGCAGAGGCGAGAGATGATTAAGACTGGCTGAAACCTCACGGGACTCCGACATGCGAGAGGCCCTCTGCAAGCCAGAATAAAAACCTTGGGCTGCTCTTTGCAACCTGCACCTCCCCTCACCTTAGCAGGGGGCCGAAGGGAGAGCAGGGACCGAGGGAGGCCAGGAACCAGGTCACTGCCGCTGGTTTCTAGGCAGCAAACGTTTGGAAGAGCAGAGGATCATTTAGCAGAGCGACAGGGAAGGTTCAGAGCAGAGCCTTCAAATTACACGCTACAGAGCACTTTTCCTGCCTAAAAGGTCTCTGAAATGACTGTGGCGGCTCTGAAACGAAGCACTCTGTATGCAATTGTTCCCTGGGGCTTGCAGAGGAGACAGAGCCGGCAGAGGAGAGGTGGGTCTGCGGTGCCCAGCATGAGGATACGCACTCCTGGATGCTCCCCAGCACCAAACCGTGCCGCTTCCCTGCACACCCCCCCCCCCCCCCCGGGCCTTTCGACCAGGCACAGTCTTTATTTGTGCTTTCCGTGTTTCTCACTTCCTGCCTTGAACTTCACACAGCTCCCAAGCTGCAGAGCTGCTGCTCAGCATGCGGGTGTCCCCAGCACAGCCTCCGAGCCCACACTGAACCATCGCCGTGCCTCGATCCCACAGGGAACGGGGAGGGAAGAGCACTCGGGGGGAACGCATCCTTGGCTTCTTCCCATCTTTCTCTCCTCCATCCCCCAGCAGCTCGAGGTCCATTTTCATC